CGTCGCATCTCCCTTGTTAGCAGTATTACGTTGAATATTACACGTTTAAAATAGAGAGCAGAGACACGTTCGCATCTCCCTTGTTTAGCAGTATTACGTTGAATATTACACGTTTAAAATAGAGAGCAGAGACACGTCGCATCTCCCTTGTTAGCAGTATTACGTTGAATATTACACGTTTAAAATAGAGAGCATAGACACCTCGCATCTCCCTTGTTAGCAGTATTACGTTGAAACTATACGTTTAAAACAGAGAGCAGAGACACGTTGACATACGGAGACTTTGACATTATAACTTGACACATAAATCATCGTCGCCACCTTCATCTTCACGCCGTCTCTCTTTCCCTCTCTCTCGCTGCAGGAATTAATAGGAGAACTGCCGAAGGAGACGCCGCTAACACCAGGGGAAGCCAAACCCTCGTTCCGCCGCAGGATCGGTACGGGCTTCAGTCTGTCTCACAGTGCCGTAGAAGCAAGCGACAAGGTAAGCTTACATACCTGTGTACCTGTCTGTGTGGTCTATATGACAACACTGCACATGAAAGCGGTAAGGTAAGCTATATATATATATCATATGTATTAAACTAAATGTCGGATTATTCNTATATATATTAAACTAAATGTCGGATTATTCTTTTTTTAAATATAACAACTGAATATCGTGCAACCTAAGAACTTTTCTACTACTACTATATATATATATATATATGACAATGACGCCACCTTACCTTTGGTTATCGGTTGCCATTGATACATCGGCGAGTATAAGCCTAACGCTTTTTTTAGGACTGAGAGTTTGACTCGGTGGTGTGTGTTCGCGTGTTTTTCCCAGAACGAGCTGATGTCCAGACTACACCTGGACCACGAAGTCCAGCATAAGATCGTCACCGCGGCCGGTAATCTGTGCGACGATCCCAACGCCACCCGCACTATTCGTCGGCAGCGCAAAGCCTGCTACCAGAGGGCGCACGCAAAGGTATAGCAGCACACTGATCGATATGTAACTGATATATATATATATATATGAGTTATATATAGATTAGTGTAGCAGTATTGCGACACGTGGCTCCACCTGCAGCGCGCGTGCGTAGACTTCCGCATTTCAGCCCAGCCACCTCGGCAGTATATGCAGATTAATTAACGCTGCGGTCTGTCCAAAGCGAACGGAGACAGTCTAGGAAGTTGGTTCTCACTCATATATTACTGGCAGACGCCTGTTGTAAGATTCCGTTGCGTAGTTGACATTTGTTTGTCACGATACGTCACTGACGGCGCGATGACGTCATTGCAGCTGCTGGATCTGGAGAAGAACATAGAGGAGACGAAGAAGAAGACGCTCACCGCCTCCTGCTCTCTACCGGCGATGGGCTCGACTGGTGACCTAGACAGAGGTGAAGTGTAACAGCGCGCGCTCTCTCTCTCTCTCTCTCTCTCTCTCTCTCTCTCTCTCTCTCTCTCTCTCTCTCTCTCTCTCTCTCT